TAACGTCTCAAGAGCACTTCCTTAACCTCGTCATAGCTCTCAAACGCTTCCCTCGACAAGCAAGTTATCGCGTCGGACACTTCGCCGGGAAGAAGAGCTAGCAGGTTCCGCGCCCAAAGAGGCCGCTCCAAAGCGTTTCGCTCACAGACGTGTTCAAACTTGACGAGATACTTCGCCATGTCCTCGCCTACTACGAACGGTGGCAGTTGGTCCCGAATTCTAAAACCGCTGACCTGAATCGTCGGGGAAGCTACGCTAGGCGCCTGCGAACACTGTAGGATTGCCAATTCTAGTCGTTTCAACTCGAGACGCTCCTGTCTCTCGGCCTCCTCGCGACGTTCGCGCCTTTCAGCTTCTTCACGTTCGCGAGCTTCGCGCCTTTCAGCTTCTTCACGTTCGCGAGCTTCGCGCCTTTCAGCTTCTTCGCGAGCTTCTACTTCTCGCCTTTCAGCCTCCTCACGGCGTGCTTTAATATCCACCCAGGCCTCATCGACTTCCTCAGCCGACACTCCCTCATCCTTCATGATCTCAAGGATCGCTTGCTTTCGTTTCGCGCGGCCCAAAGTAATGCCGAGTTCCTCACAAATTTCGATGAGTTCCTTCACTTTAAGGTTCTCCATCGTTCACACTAGCCTCTTGCTGTTTGCCCCTGTTAACAATTTACTTGCCGTACCCACTATAAGTCAACTAGCAAGACGCGCAAGCAATTTTTCACTCTCCCGTGTTTACCCCCTCCGCATTAACTTTGGTTTCAAAGCACTTCGACTTTGCTTGAAACGATCAAAGCTCACTCTAATGCTTCACACAGCCCTTCTCTAAACTACTACAACCTGAGCTAGAGTAGTCTGGTGAACTGAGGGGAAAACATCAGGCACTCACCGCATCGATGTCGCTGACGCCGGCCGATCCCGCAGCTGCCAACCACTGTTGCGAACGACGTCCTCCGAAATCCCACCGCTGACCTCCACTGTTGCGAACGACGGACCGATCCCGCCGAAGCCACCACTGTTGCGAAAGACGGCGATGCCAACACGGTCCCAAGGCGCCACTGCTTTCAACTCCGCCGGGAAGGTAACCAGCCGTTTGGTAGCGTATGTTTCTCAGCTCGCGACTGCTTCTGCGCAGAGCTGATAAGACGAGCGGACGAGACGACGGTGAGTTAAACAAGGTTTATGTACAGCATATATACAGAGGCGTTACAATTTCGGCACTGGGGCCGACAGAGACTCGAAGAGCCGAGTTCTCCTCTCTAACACATAGGTCAGCCTTTCGCCTAAGACCGCTGACTCACACACATGTCGGCTCTCCGACACGGGGACTCCTCTCCTAGGACCGCCGATCGCGACGCGCCGCAGGGCTTCTTTTATTTACACCGGGTCCAACCAAAATGTCCAATCAGAAGCGCCGCTGGTCGTCAGGGCAGATCCCTCCAATGGGGTTGCCGCGCCATGCGTCAGACCACCTGACACGAGGACGCCGGCTCGCTGTCACGTGCGCAGCTGACTCACTGCACGTGGGCCAGAGGGGCGCCGCGCGTGTTCACGCCGTCGAGGTGATCGCGCCAGGCGGACTGCGGGCTGGCCTTGACCCAGATTGCCTTTTTCAGAGGCACGGACGTTTGACGAGGACTCGCTGGCATAACAGGCTGCAGTGCCTGCGCGCACGGTGTACTGATAGAATCACACTTGTCTATATAGCGAGCAGCGGAGCGGGTGCCGGTCGACACTATATTGCTGGCCGCAGCTTCCACCTCACGTTAGCCACAAGCTTCCGTTCATGATTGAATTGTAGCACAAGGGCCTACCTAGTATGTGGTTTGACCATGTTTGGTATTATTGCGGCGTCGTTCTTTGCATATTTCTGCAGGAATACGGAAGCTGCATGCGGCGCTCGAGTGGGTGGGATGATAGTCGCCGTGGTAGCTCAGTGGTAGAGCATTGAACGCTGTCACACCGGTCCCGTTAATTCGGGAGGCGATCGCCGGGCTAATTCCAAGGGCCGAAGTATCGGCCCCCCGAACCGCACCACGAAAGCGTGGACAATTTAGAAGTGGTCCTTATTGGCGCGCCAGCAGACGCCGGCTGTGGCCCAAAGAACAAGTCAGAGCCGAGAGTTGATAAACAAACAAAATTATATTCTCAATAATGGCAGATCGAAAACAATACACAAATATGCACACTCCACAATAGTTGCGTACAATATGTCACCAATCAAACCAATCAAACAACGTACTACACAGTACAATCAGCCACTCTCGAAACAACGGACACAGACAACGATACGCACTACAATGCAGTCGCATGCATTGAACAACCAAGACACTTAAAGGCTAAAGAGATAGAAAACCTGCTCAGTCCAAAGTTCTTGGAACAAAAGTCTGGATGATACTCTTCCGAGAATCACTCACTCAAAGTCCAGCGTTGTTGTCGTTCCGCTGCCCCCTGAAGTTTCTCTTCCAGGAAACCTCGCGTCTTTAATTGGCCACTCTTCAAGCTTCAACTTCTTCGCCGGACACCCGTCGGCTTCACACACGCAGCTGTTGCCACGCGTCTTCGCTCGATAGCGGTAAACACACACACTCTTGCCTGTAGCTCTAGTCGTCACCCCTCAGGTGGAAATCCTCTTCTCCTGCTTTGTCTCCACGGACAAAACCTTCGCCGACTCCACGGCGGAATCCCTACGCGCTCCGGCGCTAACTTCCGTCTTCTCCTGATCTCTCATCTCCGCTGCTCGGTTAAATACCTTCCGCGCGACATTCCAGAAGGTTCTCATCATTTCGTCGGCGCGATACGCAGCGAAGGCTGGGAAGAGGGCAAGACGGTTGGAATGCCCTCCGCGGCAGATGACTCAGCTCGGTATGACCACGCCTATTTCCTTCTGAAACTTTCCAGCGCTTGCTCGGCCGCCGTTGTGGGGTGAGGAGGTTCGTCGGCGAAGCCACGCTTCCGAGAGGAGAGCGCGCGCCCCGGGGAGCCTTGGATGTTTGTTTTCTTTTAGGAGCGAAGCTCCTTAAGGCGTGGGCTGTGCGTCCCCTGTATGTAGCCACCTCTCGTTCAGTTCTAAGTATTACGCTAGCCACCGCCCGATCTAAAGGGTACAGCCATATCCATCCGTCCATCCGTCCGTCCATCCATCCGTCTATCTATCCGTCCATCCGTCCGTCCATCCGTCCATCCATCCGTCCGTCCGTCCGTCCATCCGTCCGTCCATCCGTCCGTCCATCCATCCGTCCGTCCGTCCGTCCATCCGTCCGTCCGTCCGTCCGTCCATCCGTCCGTCCGTCCAAAAGATGCAAGATGTTATAAACTAGACGGCGGTACGTGTAGTTGATTATGAAAGATGCGAGGTGTTATAAAATAGGAATGATGCCACATATGGCGCGTGTCATCGTTCGATATAGTGCGGCGACGTACGCTAGGGGGAGCGTTGCAATAAAATCGAGTGGGCAAAATGTACGGAGGATTCATGGTTTACCAGGTTTACCTCCGGAGCTTCGCCCACTCATCATATATATATATATATATATATATATATATATATATATATATATATATATATATATATATATGGTTAAACACTACGCGTGGCATGCTATATATAGACGGCTCATTTGACTGCGGCGCGTGCGTTTTTTCGTATAATAGTACATTGCATATAGCAGAGCCCACTTCATGAGTATAGAAGAACCAAACACACTTTATAAGAGCTGCACCATCATTGTCTGGCGGCAGTGCGCGCTTAACCACCACCTTCGTGCTCAGCGCGATATAGCGGTGTTCCGCTTGTTTCTTTTGCCATCTTTCCTTGCAAATGGTAATTTTAGGGTGCGCTGTGCTTCGTGTTCGCCTCCTACTTAGCGAGATGTGAGGTGAATGACTCGCCTAGAGATAACGGCGCGTGTGTATATAAAATAAATGAATAAACAAAAGAACACCAGTAGTACGACTGACAGCCAGCGCGCTCTGTCAGTCGTCTGATTGCCGCACGCGTTGTTTCAGGGGCGAAGCTCCTTAATGCGTGGGTCTGTCCATCCTTTGATATATGTAGTTGTAGTAGTAGTAGTAGTAGTAGGTAGCCACCCGCATACCACTGGCACATACCCGCCTTGTGCACATATCCGCATGTCCACATGTTACGAAAAACGTAACACGGCGTCCATATCGCGCTCTCGGTGTTGACAAACCACTGACAGCATGAATGTGGTACATATTCTCGTTTAGTCCTTGGATTATCCGCCGGATGGCTGTACTTGTATACGATGAATGTATGATCAAAAGAAGGGAGATTGCGGTACTTTGTTCACCATATGAACGGACTGACGCACGTATGGACAGACAGACAAGCAGACGGACAGACAGACAAATACACGGACGGATGGACGGACGGACGGACGGATGGACGCATGAACGGGCGCACGGACGGATGGACTGATACCCGGACGGACGAACGCACGGACGGAAGCACGGATGGATTGATGGACGCTTCGCCGCACTCATCATCATCCATTCTGTGGATATGCTGTGATTTTTTTGTTAGGCTGTCAGCACCAACGTTTATAGTCCGTACTCCGTCCGTGCAGCGCGCGCCATGTTTCGGATCTAGTTCGGTACTTTGTGACGCGGCATAATGTTCACGCACTGCACATTGGTATTGATTTACGGATATAAGTGACGAATGAGAGTAGGTCGCATTAAGAGGTTCGTTTGACTAGTTGGACTTCGCTTGCGCGGATAAAGGTCTCTATATGAAGACCTTCGGTTACATCATGGTCCTTCAATATTTTTCTGGTCATGAAACTCCCGCGTCACTCAATGGGAGAGCTTCATATACCGCCCGCACTTTCCGCGCCGCGGCGCTGGCGTAGCTAGACGGGGGACGAGGAAGCCGGCCCGGCCGGCTGCTCTGTTGGCCGCCATTAGCGGACTGTTGGCGCGGAGTTGTGGTGGTCGTGCTGATCGCCCCCCTTTTTAGCTTTTCGCGGTCGCATCGTGTTGACAGCGATGCCCAACACCTGCTGCGTGCCGGGCTGTCATTCTGGATACAAGGGCACCGTCGAAAAAGTTTCCCTGTTCTGTTTACCAGCCAACGCAGAACAACGCGTCAGGTGGAAACGTGCGATCCCGCGACAGGAGACTGCCGGATTTTCGTTCGAATCAAAGTACGCTCGCGTGTGTGAAAAACATTTCGACGCCAGTGACATTGTACGTGCGGACGTGTGCACTGTGAACGGAGACATCGTTTCGCTGCCCCGAGAACGACCGAGACTGGTGGAAGACGCCCGTACCAAGGATTTTTGAAGGTTTGCCTTCCTACCTCTCGAAACCAAAGCAGCGTTCGCGTGCAACGAAGGGCCCACCTCTAAAAAGGCCGCGAGAGCTTTCTCCGGATTGTGATGCGACAGTCGCGAATGCAGACGTCTCCAGTGCAGCCGACAAAGAAATCGAAGGTAAGTCTGGCACAAAGTTTGCAAGTATCCTACCCGCTCACCACGCTAACAAAATTCGCTCACTACGCTAACCAAATTGGTTCCTTCCCTTATAAATATTGCCCTTTCTCACTCTTTGCAGATGTTGTGAGAACTGAGAATCGCAATGGCTACGCTGATGCAGAGTGTCAAACAGAGGTCACCGTTTGTTCAGCGTCGGAGCTACAGAGAGTGAAGGCCCAACTTCGCAGCGTGAAGCAACAGCTTCAGTCATGTCAGCGGAAACTCACAAAAGCGGAGGCGCACGCGAATAGAAAGAATGGAGTGTATGCAGATATTCACAAGCTTTCAGACCGCGAGAAGCTCATTATAGACCAGTGCATCATGAAAGCAAATATGAAGTCTGCGAAAGCAGCACGGTAAGATCCGGTTTGTAAAGTTTGTGTGTGTGTGCAATTTTATGTGAAGTGCGATGTTCGGTGCGCATTCGTTTGCTTTCTGGATATTGACAGAACTACTAAGTGAAGCCGTGGGACAAAACGCAATATTTTGTTTTACTTTGATGGTGCTGTTTGCTTGAGCTGTAGCAGAATCGTGACCACAAAAATTGCATTTTATTTATTGCAGGTATAAAAAGGAATGGCTTTACGATTGTTTACTGCTGAAAATCAAATCCACAGCAGTTTATACATTTCTTCACGAGAATAATTTTCTGCCTCTACCACACCCTCGCACACTCTACTCCTATCTGAAAAATCTGAAGGCCGGCTTCGGATTTGATGAAATTTATTTGACATCCTCAAAGACAAAGTGGAAAAGATTCCAAAGAGAGAACGGCGAGGTTTTTATCTTTTTTTTCTTTTGCATTTGATTTTTCTGGACTCTAGGTAAAGAGCTGAAATATTTTTTTTTTCTTTAGGTGTCCTCATGTTTGATGAGATGAGCGTGAGAAAGAGCCTTCACGTCAGGGAATCGGATATGGCACTGCTTGGAAAGGTGGACTTAGCAGAGCACACGAAGCCGACTGACCAGTGAAAGATGGGGACCACGTGTTGGTGTTCCTTTTCCGACCATTCCTTGGTGGCTGGTCGCAGACTGTCGGAGCGTTTTGCACGTCCGGGGCTGCACCAGGATCCACTGTTGCCAAACTGATCCTGCAGTGCATTGTACTCCTATCGAATGCCGGCGTCATTGTGGAGGCAGTCACTTGCGATAACTCAACTTCGAACCGATCAGCACTGAACTCCTTGGGTAAATATTTGCAGTCATTATTTATTTTCAAGGTATTTAGTAAGTGATTTTAATAATAGAAATGCCTTTCTTTTAGGTGTCAGTGGTGATGTCACAAGAGTATCAACATCGTTTGAGCATCCATGTGACTCCTCCAAAGTCATTCAGGCTATAATTGACCCGCCGCACATCTTCAAGTGCATCAGGAATAACCTTTTGAAGGCCGGAAAGTTCCTGGTGCGTAAAACAGTTTAAGATAAGTCATCACAGTGCTCTGGCTAACTTGTCTCACAGCCTTTTTATAAATGTACAGTTGCCTGGTGACAAAGAAGTACAGCATTCCCACTTTGAAGCTCTGCTGGACTACGAGGAGCAGCAAGCTGGACTTCGGGCTGTGCCAAAGCTTACGAAAGCTCACATCAGCCCCAACGCCTTTCCAAAAACTGAGTGTGAGACTTGCTGTCCAGGTAAGACATAACAGCTGCTCTAGCATGAGTCATTAATCAGTATGTGTAACAAAAAGTGGTGTTGCTTCATCAGAATACAACACTCTGCCATATAACTTCTCTAAAACATTTCAGCTCTTCAGTGAAAGCACTGCTTCAGCAATGGACTTCTATCGCAGTAGAGAAGAATGTGTGAAACTTCGTGGCTCCAAAGCAACTTCGGATTTTGCGAGGCGAATGAATAGTCTATTCGACTGCTTCAATTCTAAAAGGCCACAAGATGTGCAGTACAATGAAGCGGAACACATTTCTGTAAGCCCTAATATTTCAAACCTACTGTCACATCCTTTGAAGTTCCACTTAAATCAGATTGTTTTTCAGACGCTGAAGGAGAACATCGAATGGCTTGACAGGTGGCACACTTACAACCAGAGTTTACCAAAGCAAAAGCAACTCTTCTTTCTCAGCAAGCCAACATGCAATGCTTTGAGAATGACTTTGCACAGCACAGTGACGCTTGTTGAAAAGCTGCTGAATTGTGGCTTTCGCTATGTTTTAGTTGGCAACTTTGGACAAGACCACCTCGAGGTACATTTAAACGTTTTTGCTCGTTGAAGACGTTTTCTTCACACTTTTATATTTTTCAGAGATTTTTTGGCATCGCAAGACATGTCGCTGGAGCAGGGGACAGCCAACTGTTCAGCAATTTTTGTTCATTTACCGGTTGCTCTCGGTGAACAACTTGATCCGTCCTCCACAGAGAGCCTCGGTTGAAGGGGATGGTCCGCGTCTCCTCTTGAAAAATGCAGGATCTCTTTCAACATAAAGAGCCTACTGTTAATCAGGTAAACATTTGAATAGCACCCACCAATGCTGCTTGTAGGGTGTTTGTGCATCGTAAACGTGCTGAATGTCGTCTAGCTTTTTGATGCTAATGACATGCACGTCTGGTCGTATGATATAGAACAGACTTTTATTCTGCTTAAGTAAAGTGTGGGATTGGGCTAGTTGGTAATCCATATAAAACTTCTAGGCGCGTAAAACTTCAGACAACTAACATAAGAGACGAGGACGAGCGCAGACTTTCAACTGATTTATTACTACTACGACACACATATATATTAGAAAGAAGATAAGATCACTTGCTTAAGCAAAAAAAAAAAAAAAAAAAAAAAAAAATTTTTTTTTTTTTTTTTTTTTTGCTTAAGCGCCTAGAAGTTTTATTCTGCATTTTTATATTTTACTTTACAAATTTCTCACTCTGGCCATTGTGATAACGCAAAATATGTTTCAGATTGATACCTTGGCAGTTCTTTTTGACGATATACTGCTGGAGCCTGCTGAATGCATGCAAGACATGATTCATCCCGAGTCAACGAGGGACTGTATTTTGGATTACCTTGGTGGGTATGTAGCAAAAAAGTTTGCTAAAATAAGCTGCAAGGACTGCCTCCAAACACTCAGAAGCAACTCCCGAGAGCCAACTGCATTGACTCAAATCAAGACAAGAGGATTTTTGCAAGTGCCATCGGAGAAATTACTGCGGCTCTTGCAAATTGTGGAAGAACATGTGGAAATGTGCACGGTGGACAAAATAGCCTGTGCCAGTGTTTACATGAACATTGTTGAGAACATCCTGCTGGACGACCGCACTTCTTCGGCCAGTGTTGGCTGTGGCTCACATTTCGTGAGCACTACGGCAGAAGTTGTGCACTTTTTTATTAAGTGCCGTCTGCATTTTTTTACGCGTGAGCAGAACAAACTGTTTCGTGCTGGCGGACGTCGTTTATCCTGCCCGGCCAAAGGAGGGAGGAAACCAGGACATAAATTTTTTCAATGATTTTTGTTGTGTCATCCACTCCGTCTCCCAACTTTCATCCACAGTTTTGAAACGCAGATTTGAATAAACTATGTGCCTGTGCTCATGGCAGTTTCGAATTCTCGACGATTGCCGCGTAGCGTAGTTGCCAAATTCAAAATGTTACCCCCTGCTAGGTAAGTGGCACACAGATTAGCTTTCGTTAGGCAGAAATATCTCGCACATAAAAAGCTCAAGTTGGATTGAAAGAGATATCTAAGTGCATAAAGAAAATCTCTAGAAATATTCAAAAAGAGCAATGCAGTTTCATGTACAACTGATTCGTTTAAACTGAATAACTGGGTTGAAGGAAGATCCTGGTTGATTTCTATGTGCGCGTAGAAGGAACAGGGTGGCTAATTAGAACGCGGACTTAGAAGTCGTGGTCATTGGGAGAGTACATGGGAATGGATAAAAAAAAAGCCGCGTATATCAAAACTCGGCTGCGTTATCAAATCTGCATGCGTAAAAACAAAAGCTCTCGCTTCGAAATAGCACGTAGTGCCTATATCTAGCAGCTCACAACAGTTTCATCTCATTTTTAATCTTTAAAATCAGGGGCGCTAATTATGACATCAAAGAAAAAAAAGAAAAGAGCACAACTTGAGCATCCCTCTCTGTCTTGTGGTGTCTCATTCTGAGCTTTTAATTTTTCAGCTATGTTCACTAACGATATCCCTCAACAGGTAGTACAAGGCTATTATTGCCAAGTCACCCTGATACACAGATTTGTTTATTGGCACGCGAACTTCTATTGGCTGCTTCGTGATGCCATATGGAATAAAGTGATAGTTATTCCGAAAATGAACGTTACGTGCAGCCAGAGCACGGCTGCTCCGCAATCTCTAGCGCAAAATATGTTAACCTTTCAGTCATCTAGAACCAGTCACAGTGTTCGGTTTAAGCCCCAAAAGCGGCTATGCAGGAATCGAGAAATTTAGGAACGCTACGAATGCGCGTCACTTGACAGACGAACTCAGTTAAAACATTGCCAGCAGTCAAAGACTTAGGCAATTGACAACGCGCATCATGGACCACTTTGACAATACTAATAGCTGCTATGATTTGTTAGCGATAACACGGAGAAGGAAAATATCTGAAGAAGTGTATTTGATGGGAAACGCTTCCGCGAACGCGCTACAGCCCTGCCAAGCGCGGCCGATCGATGCCCTCCTGTTTACGGTGGCGCCTCTGGTGGCCACTTGTGTCCCTATATGAAACTTTCGCGGGAGTTTCATGACCAGAAAAAAGTATTGAAGGACCATGGTTACATCTATAAATAGACGTCTTTGTTCCGTGCGGAGAAATGAAATATTTTCTACGATAACAAGGGGGTGGCACAATGGCCCGCTTCGGAGCTAATGGTTCACTTGACCAAGACGACGCCGTTGAGGGCGCAGTCTACAGCGAAAGCCGGCAGGTTTTGATGATTTTCGACTGCACCGCCAAGGTGAACTAATATAGGCTTCCGTTCAAGAGTACAAGTTGTATGCGCACTTCTGTAAGTTAGCAATGCATGTGTGGAAAATGATGCGTTTCGTGCTCTTGTGCTTACATTTATGCACGTCAGGCACTTGTGTTGAAATATGATCAAGTGTCGGGGGGTTATCCATATAGTGTGCGGATTTCCGTCGAGCATTTGCGTATCGGCTACGTTGTTACGCATGGTACCGAATCCATTAATTGAGACGTTTCTGTCAATATGCGTTTAAACAACAGCGTATACTTAAGTATACCCAAGGGCGAGATGACGAAAACGAACGTGTTCTGTTCTATGCATTACGGAGCTAAAGTGGGTTGGAAAGGTTCGTGTAAGTCTATATAGTGACTTAATATTTCTTTTTTTTATACTCGAACAAAGAACCAATAATTGGATTGCGTTGGTTGAAAAAAAAAAGAATATTCGTGAATGGTCGGTGAGTCTTGTTAAATACTAGCTAACGCAGAATACGGTTGGCTAATCAGTGTCAGTCAGTAATGGAAAGCTTTTACTTTGTGCGTATATACATGCAGTCACGCCGTCGGAAGCGACTCGAAAGCGCTTGCAACAACTATATAGTATACGTCGGGATATCGCGTTGATGAGGGCACTGGCTCGATTCTTACTACTTCTGGCCGGGACATGTTGCAAAAATACTATTGGTCGTAGATTTATAAGTGCACATTAAAGAACTGCAGGTGTTGATATTAAATATATAGAGAGGCCGCCCACTTTGGGCCTCGTGATGATGCCGCATAGACCAGGAGCGTATATAGCCAGTACACTTTTTCGGATGGTGGGAGGGGGGGGGGGTCAGTTATACTTCATGTATGTTCATGCGTGCGTTTGTATGTGTGCGCGTATATGTATGCAAGCAAAATTTTAAAAAAATGGGGGGGGGGGGGGATTCGATCCTGTGACCTTGGCAGTCAAGCACTATATAACCACTAGACCACCTCGGTGGGTGCTGTTGTCGCTCACGCGAAAGGTTGTTCACAAGATTACGGGTACTAAATTTCAATGCGCGATAATCGAACATGGTTGGCAGTAGCATATGTTATAGTAACATATGTCCAAAGCTCTTCTGGCTGGCAGCCCGGGCCAGCGTGCGCCGAGGTGCAATCGCACGAGGCCTTGCGTGCAGACAGGCGTCCTCCGCCGGTGCGTTTTCCTGGCACCCCACATAAATAGTATACGCGCCAGGACGCGCTGTTCCGGGCATTGTGTCCTCTCGTGCCTGCCCGCTCGGTCATCGCTCACCAGTTGTGGTCAGCGGCGGCACTTTCCTCTTATACCGCAGCTCTCCCCTTCCTGCATGCCATGTCGAGCGAAGCGTGTCGGTATTATCGTCGTTATGGTCATCAGTCTTGCGGCGCGCAGCGCCGCTCATCTCTCTCTCTCTCCTCATCCATTTCTCTGTCTCGTTTCGAGGTGTAATTCGGAGCCCGCTGTGTCTGCGGCAGTGACCGTCGGCACGCCGAGTGGCTCGGGGCAGCTCGGCACCGCAGTCATGGTCGCCGCGTATACGGACATATCGAGTTTGAGAATCCGCTGCTGCTGCTGCTGCTGCTGCTGCTGCTGTGTGTGTGTGTGTTTGTGTGTGTGTGTGTGTGTGTGTGTGTGTGTGTGTGTGTGTGTGTGTGTGTGTGTGTGTGTGTGTGTGTGTGTGTGTGTGCGTGTGTGTGTGTGTGTGTGTGTGTGTGTGTGTGTGTGTGTGTGTGTGTGTGGTGAGTTAGTGCGTGGGTGTGGGGCTTGTGGTTGTAGCGAGCTATAGTGACTATGTGTACAAGTTATTTCCTGTAATCAAAAAAAAAAAATTCCACACATCCATAACTCTTCACTGTAACCTCTGAAATGGTTATTGCGTATCAGTTTACTATTGTTTGAAATTGTTTAATAATCTAAACTTCATTACGGAGTGAATTACGGCGTTGACTACTTATCTTCATTACAAACTGCATATCCTGTGGCCGTTCGGAAGTTTTCCGAATGGAGTCAATGTATCGGCCAGTACTACTTGTTGAATGGGCTTGTTGACTTGAAACTTCTCGATTCACTTCAATATTGGAAAGCGAAACAGAACAAAGCAATAACGTGTGTACAGACGCTACATTTGTAGTATCGCGTTACGTCTACTATGCTGCAGCATGAACGAAGGTGGCATGACAGAGAAAGCGTGTGCTTTTGTCTTTTCTATGTCTCACCGTCTCGTTTAACGCCGCAACAGCCGTGTTTAGTATTATGAAAAATTACCTCTAGCAAGACAATTCTTTAGTACCCCGTTCGTTGCGGGCTTGTAACGTGAAGTATGCATGGTCAGCAAGGAATGCGTGCCCTGTAGCTGTTGTCGCGTATTGTCCATTGAGTCGACTGGGTGTGTCTGGGAAGAGTTCACCTTGCGTCAATAGGTCCTATAATATGCTTCGCTGATCATATAAAGTTCTAAACGAACAATTACGTGGTCCATGTTTGTTTGAGAGTTATTAGTATACAAATGGTGCCGGGTTCTGGCTAGCACAGTCGTTTGCAGGAACGTTTGCATAGCACTCAGCACTGTAGATCGATCGATTCGGGGAACTGATGTGCATATATATATATATATATATATATATATATATATATATATATATATATATATATATATATATATATATATATATATATATATATATATATATATATATATATATATATATATAAAGAGAAAGAGAGAGCTATAGCTTGCGTCATTCTAAGAAGGGTGGGCCTGTCAGCTTACAGCAACGCAGTGCAAAACGTAGAGATACGTACAGATCAGTCGTCTCGATCCATGGACAACTACCTGTTCCTGTTCTGATCTATGGTCGATAGGACCATTTATTTCTCGGCACGTGCCCGCTATTTAGATTGACTCTACTCTTGAGGAAGCTGAACGACGGTCATTAAGGCGTGTTCTTGGTTTGACTGCGACGTTTAGTATGCACGTGCCCCACCGAGGCAGTGGATCGCGAAGGTGCGGCTGCGTTGCGGGTAAGGCGACCGACCCCACACCAGTGGCCTCTTTTGCCGGTCCACTGCATCGCTGCGACGCGCCACGACTCATACGCGGAGACGGCTGCTTCTAAACTAGAAGTATATATTACACCGCGTGTCGCGTAGCCCTAGCGTGACGTGTAACGCGACACTTCGACCAATCGACTGTGAAGCGTCGCCTGGGAATGCAATCTATACCCGGGTGTACACGCCTCCGGATGTTTGTCTCTCGAGTTGCGTGCAGTGCGTCCCTCAAAGCAGCGTCAGAGAGAGAGAGAGAGAAAGAAGGCGTTCGCATGATCGGTGAAGTGGCGAGGCCGATTTTATCGAACCCGGATATTTCGAATTATCCTCTTATACGGAACGACTATTGAAATGCATGGCACGGCGCTGTGCCCACCGTGTCGCGTAATAATATTGTGTTTCATTTCTCGACGACGTATCTGTGAT